CTCACGTAACTGGAATCATGCAGTATTTGTCCTTCTGTGACTTGCTTATTTCATTTAGCATGATATTTTTTTATTCAGTAAAGTTTTATTTTTCCAAATATACAGTTGCTTGGACATGTTCATGCCTCTTCACCAGCAGTTGGGGCATCTCCACCCTTGGTATTTCTGGTATAACTTACTTGAGCTCTGTGCTTTGAAACCAGTTTGATAAGTCCTTTAGTAAAAGGGCTGCCCTGGCCAGGGAACCTTGAATCTTTAGTCTCTCAGAGACCGGAGCTGGGGTTATAAGCTTATAGCTGAGAACTTCCTTACAAAATTTGTCACATGTAGCTTTATTAAACAAGACTAGGTTGTTGAACCTGTCCTGAACTTTGCTTTAGAAGCACTTCTTTTTGGCCTTGCCCCCATATTTGTTCACTGGGTCTTTGTCTTTCTTGCCAACTTTCTGGCATCTTTCTTCTTGTCGTCTTTGGGTGGCTTTGTGAAGCTCAGAGTAGAGTAAACAACTATTGCAACCTTGCTAAGATGTTGGATAAAAAAAACACACTTACCATAATGTCCTGAAGGTTTATCCATCCCATCATATATGATAGATCATAGATTTCCTTCTTTACTCTTTCTTTTCTTCCCTTAATACTTAGATAAACCCAAAAGATTTCCTTCAAGGCCAAATAATACACCATTCTATGTATATACAGCATTTTTTTTTACCCATTCTTTTGTTAATGGATATTGTACTGCTTCTACATTTTAGCCACGGTGAATAATGCTTCAATAAACATGGGAGGAAAAATATTTCTTCAAGATCCTGATGATCAATTATTTTGGGTAAATACCCAGAAGTGGGGAAAACTGAATCACACGGTGTCTTATTCTGTTTGTGCTGCTATAATAACATATATGAGAGTGGGTAATTATCAACAACAAAAGTGTATTTTTCACAGTTCTGGAGGTTGAGAAGTCCAATTTCAAGGCAGCAGGTCTGGGTGAGGGCCTAGTCTCTGCTTCTAAGATAGTGCCCTGAACACTGTATCTTCACATGGTGGAAGGGCAAAAGAGCCCAGCGTGGTCCTTCTACCATTCTATAAAGTCACTAATCCCATTCATGAGAATTCTGCCCTCATGACTTAATCACCTCCTAAAGGTCTCACCTCTTAAGATTTAACAGTGGGTTTAAGTTTCAACATACAAATTTGGAGAGACAAATTCAGATCACAGCATATGGCATGGATTTTTTTTCAGTGTTTTTTTGAGCTTTGTTCCAAATATCCTGAGTCATTCACTACTTATGTGCCTCATCCTAGTTAATTAACTAGACAAAAAAATTATAGGGAAGACCTATACTTGTATTTCAGCCTCATTTATTCAACAAACATTTGATGATCTACTATGTCTAACATCGACTTAATGGCCAAAGATATAAGAATTAACAAATCAGACAAAAATCCTCCACCCTTGTGAAGATACATTCAGTGGGAAGAAACAGAAAATAAGCAAAATAAATAAGTAGTATATAAAATGTTAGTATTAGGCTGGGCGCAGTGGCTCACACTTATAATCCTAGCACTTAGGAGGCCAAGGTGGGTGGATTGCCTGAACTTACGAGTTTGAGATAAGCCTAAGCCATAGGAAGACCTCATCTCAAAAAAAAAA